GATTCTCCTGCCTCAGCCTCCCAAGTAGCGGGGACTATAGGCACCTGCCACCACACCCGGCTAAATTTTGCATTTTTCGTGGAGACAGGGTTTTGCCATGTTGGCCAGGCTGGTCTCAAACACGTGACCTCAGGTGAGCCACTGCACCTGGCCACTCAGTTTTCTGACTAGCATAGGGATAGACCTAGTAGGTGAATGGTTCGGTGAACAGCAGTTGTATGGATTCACAAGCTGCATATGATACACTCTGTCCATGGGAAACACTGAAAATGTCTGGTATTTATCAACCGTCATGCAACTTCAGATGCTGTGTTCCCAGTGCCTCTGTCTGTAAGGGTTGCTGATAAGGAGGAGAGCAGCTCACAGCTGGCTTAGTCCTGTTCCCCTTTCCGGCATCATGTATTCTGTTTAAAGGAAGGTATAAATAGTCAAGGCTGGCAGAGGCCTGTGGGAGCTGAGAATGAAGTGCCCTGCCCTGCTAAGTGTCTTCACCGCTCCAGAAAGGCTGGCCATTTTGACTTTGCTGTTAGCTCAGATTATGCACCAACTATTTGCAAAACTTGTGTAAAATATGACTCAAAATGGAATGATCTGCCCCCTTTGGATTATTTGCCTTTGTAATTCCTCACAGAATGTAACAGAGAGAAAGTAATTTTCAACTGTTCAGTCTTCAAAGATTAAACAGCTAAAATTCCTGAAAATGGATCTTTTCCTGCTGCAGCCTCTGTGAAGCCTCACACTTTCCAGGTTTTTTTTTTTTTCCTACAGGGTTTGAGTCCAGGATTTTAATTATCAGCAGCTTACAAATCTGTTTCTGAAAAAAATAGTAGTATATGGGCATATTCATGGGTCTGCTTATGTCACTGATTAAAGTTATGGCGAATCAAACTTTCGCTAAATTTGCATTTTTAAAAACTAATATCCTGTTGAATAGAACACTCAATTATAAAATTTCTATTCAGGCCGGGCGCGGTGGCTCATGCCTGTAATCCCAGCACTTTGGGAAGTCGAGGCGAGTGGATCACTTGAGGTCAGGAGTTCAAGACCAGCCTGGCCAACATGGTGAAACGTCATCTCTACTAAAGATGAAAAAATTAGCTGGGTATGGTGGCACAAGCCTGTTGTCCCAGCTACTCAGGAGGCTGAGGCAGGAGAATTGCTTGAACCCAGGAAGCGGAAATTGCAGTAAGCTGAGATCGTACCACTGCACTCCAGCCTGGGTGACAAAGCAAGACTGTCTCAAAAAAATAAAATATTAAAATAAAATAAAATCTTGCCAGGCACAGTGGCTCATGCCTGTAATCCCAGCACTTTGGGAGGCCAAGACAGGCGGACCACGAAGTCAGGAAACCATCCTGGCTTATACCGTGAAACCCCGGCTCTACTAAAAATACAAAAAAATTAGCCGGGTGTTTTGGCGGGCGCCTGTAGTCCTAGCTACTCAGGAGGCTGAGGCAGGAGAATGGCGTGAACCCGGGCGTCGGAGCTTGCAGTGAGCCGAGGTTGCGCCACTAGCCACACCAGCCTGGGTGACAGAGCGAGACTCCGTCTCAAAAAAAAAAAAAAAAAAAAGGCCAGGCACGGTGGTTCAACGCCTGAATATCTAGCACTTTGGGAAGCCAAGGTGGGTGGATCATGAGGTCAGGAGATCGAGGCCATCCTGCTAATACGGTGAAACCCTCTCCTACTAAAAAAAAAAAATAACAAAAAATTAGCCGGGCGTGGTGGTGGGCGCCTGTAGTCCCAGCTACTCGGGAGGCTGAGGCAGGAGAATGTCAGGCAGCCGGGAGGCGCAGTGAGCCGAGATCGCACCACTACACTCCAGTCTGGGTGACAGCTCGAGACTCTGTCTTAAATAAATAAATAAATAAATAAATAGAGCGAGACTCCGTCTCAAAGAAATAAATAAAATAAAATCTCTTTATCCATATTGGAACATCCTGCATCCTCTGGGCTATGTAGAGGAACTGTCTCCATTCAGACAGCCTCACATTTAGGCCTCCTTGTCCTTGGTGATGGGTCACCATCTCCTGGATCCAGAGAAACTGGCTGCACCATTAGGTCCACTGAATTGGGCTGTAAAGTCATGAATAATTTTTAAAGTATTTTGAAACATTTTTTTCTGGATCTTCAAACTTACATGGAATGGTTGATTACCTACATTTCCCTGAAGCTCTTTTATTTTTATTTTCTTTTGCTTCAGGGAGGGACTGACATGAGATTGAGAAGATACTGGAAACTTGGAAAAACCGCACCTTGCTTTTGTCTGTGTCAGGACGGGTGGCATTGGAAAGTGAGAGTGCTGTAGATAGTGATGCGCCCTCAGTGATTCTAAGCCTGGGCAGCGGGAATGCACCTTGTTCACAAAATAGAACCCAGAATATCCTTGCAAGGTCACAGAGCAATCGCTGTTGTGCCACTTAGGACCTTTAGTTTGTTCTTGGATGATTTTAACAATCTTTTTATTTTAAAGCTTCCTTAAAAAGAACCACTTCCCCCCTTTTTAGTAATTTTTTATTTATATTGAGTTATTAGAGAAGAAAATGTTTTCACTATTTTTAATGTTTAAAGTAGTGGACAAGTTCCTAGGATTTTTCTAGATGAGTTTTTGTGGGGGTTTTTTATTATTATTTGTTGAAAAATAAAATCAAGTTTCACAAAGCCTGTAATATCTTATTTATATCGAATGTGTGTGTGTGCACGTGCACACGTGCACATACGTAGGTACATACACATGCATAGAGAATTTTTAGGAAGTGATATAAAAAAAATTGAGTGTGAGCCTGTGAGAAGAGGGAATATGGGTAAGGGGAATCACGTACTTTTTATTTCCTATCCTTCTGTTCTATTGATTTTTTGCTATAAGCTTGTATTTTTAAAAATAATTTTTTGAAACTTGAAATTTCCAAGGAAACATTTTCTCACATCACATCTTTTTAGATAGTCTGTGAGCAGCATCTCAAGACTCCCCTGTGTTTCTCCCACTGATGGGCAAATCTGCTTTCTCATACACCCCTGCCCCCTCCCCCAGCCATCTGATAACTTTGGTAGTGATAGAAAAAGAGTAACCACTTTTTCTGTCCTGTTCCCACACTGTGTGTTTCTCACCAGTGCACATAATTTCACACCATAAACGGGACCCTTAGAAATCGTGCAGTGCAGGCCGGGCACGGTGGCTCATGCCTGTAATCCCAGCACTTTCGGAGGCCGAAGTGGGTGGATTACAAGGTCAGGAGATTGAGACCATCCTGGCTAGCATGATGAAATCCTGTCTCTACTAAAAATACAAAAAATTAGCCAGGTATGGTGGCGGGTGCCTGTAATTCCAGCTACTCGGGAGGCTGAGGCAGGAGAATGGTGTGATCCCAGGAGGCGGAGCTTGCAGTGAGCCGAGATTGTACCACTGCACTCCAGCCTGGGCAACAAAGCGAGACTCCGTCTCAAAAAAAAAAAAAAAACAACAGAAATCGTGCAGTGCAGTTGCCTCTTTCACAGATGAAAGACTGCCCTTTCCACTTCTTTGAAATCTCGACTGGGTGGTCTTCCTTCCATGACAAGCTAAGAAAGGCTGAACTGGAATTGGAATGCTGTATTTTCTTTTTTTTTTTTTTCTTTTTTTTCAAGACGGAGTTTCTTGCTCTTGTTGCCCGGGCTGGAGTGCAATGGCGTGATCTTGGCTCACTGCAGCCTCCGACTCCCGGGTTCAAGTGATTCTCCTGCCTAAGCCTTCCGAGTAGCTGGGATTACAGGCACCCGCCACCACGCCTGGCTAATGTTTTGTATTTTTAGTAGAGACGGTTTCACCACGTTGGCCAGGCTGGTCTCAAACTCCTGACCTCAGGTGATCCACCCACCTCGGCCTCCCAAAGGTATTCCACACCAGACCTGGAATACCTTTTCTTTTTTTTTTTCCTTTTTTTTTTTTTTTGAGACAGAGTCTTGCTCTGTTGCCCAGGCTGGAGTGCAGTGGCATGATCTCAGTTCACTGCAGCATCCACCTCCTGGGTTCAAGCAATTTTCCTGCCTCAGCCTCCCAGGTAGCTGGGATTACAGGTACCTGCCGCCATACCTGGCTAATTTTTGTATTTTTAGTAGAGATGGGGTTTCGCTATGTTGGCCAGGTTGGTCTCTAACTCCTGAACTGAGGTGATCCGCTCACCTCGGCCTCCCAGAGTGCTGGGATTACAGGTGTGAGCCACCGCGCCAGGCCGGAATACCTTATTTTCTCAGATTCGACATCACTGTGCATCCCTGAGTTTAACGAGGTCTGCTGCGTGGTACCTGAGTATTGTTACACCAGCCTATAACTGACAGCCCAGATTCTAAGGTTCATACACTATTGTAAGAAGAAGAGTTCCATGATTCTGAAAACACTCAGAGCCGCCAGACATGGTGGCTCATGCCTGCAATCCCAGCACTTTGGGAGGCTGATGTGGGAGGATCCTTTGAGGCCAAGAGTTTGAGGCCAACCTGGGCAACATAGCAAGACCCCGTCTCTACAGCAACAGAATAAAAACACCCAGACCCGACAGCTCGAGATCCTTGGTCCAAGAAGCTCAAAAGGAGTCTTTAGCGATTGTCCCAGACCACTGGGGAGAGCCAGCTTGCCTTCGTCCTAATATTTAACATTTGTTATCTGAGATTCATTAGGAAATTTACACTATGAAATTTAAGGTGACATTTTCCTTGTAAGATTTCTGCAGACTTAGAGATAAGTTGCTAAAATAAAGAATGTTTAAGTCACTCTGGAGAGCTGAGTGAAAGCTCATTTCAACCTTGGGAAGGGCCAGGAGGGCAGTGAGCTCTGTCTCACCCAGGCCTGAGCCATCGGATGGCAGAAGTCACGGTTTGGGGTACTTCCTGGGGAAAGGCCGTGGCTGGACCCCAGGCAGCATGCACACACCAAAATCAATGACTGCAGTTCTTTGTGTACGTTTCCCTTACCTCCTGGGTCCTCAGCTGTCTTCCCATCTTGATTCTGCACATAGGTTGTGGAAAGGAGGAGAACCCCAGCTGAAATTCGAGAGGAGTTTGAGCGGCTGCAGAGAGAGAGGGAAGAGAGGAGACTGCAGCAGCGAACCAATCCCAAGGTAAGCCAGGGGCCAGGTTTCATGAGGACATCTCATGAAAAGGCCTCATACCTAGAGGCCAGATCTGAAATAATGAGGTGCTGGTGGATTGTTAAAGGAAAAACATACAAGCTGGTGGGACAAAATTTGGCTTATGTCAAAGTCATATCTTTCTGGAAACACCTCCCTAGCAGCCATCAGCCACGCTGCTGCTCATCTCCAGGAGATGAATGTTTTATACCATATGGAGGGAAGACAAAACCAGTCCCCCGTTTTTTCCAGAAGTCAGGGAGTTTTGCCAAGCAGATATACAGGCCAGTCATTAAAGCCGTTTCCTCCGACTGTGCTGCCCAAGTCCTTGACGCTGGAAATCAGAGGATAGTGGCAGGGCAGAGGACAGCCACCTAATCACCTAAGCGTTGAGGCAGCAGAAGTCCTTGCTTACCCATTAGGATATGGAGAGCCAAAAAATGCAGAGGGCTCAGGGCATGTCTGTGTTGCCTTGAGCAGAGGGCCCTGCTCACATCACCCCAGGGCATTGGTGCCATGACCACCGGTCAGTGGGTTGTTTGAGCAGCATCAGTGTCCCAGATCACCGATGGAGTTTAAGTCTTTTAACCCAGTGACACTACTTAGTCTGAGTTACTTTTCAATGCTAAGTATGCTCTCTTTTTCCTTTCAATTTGCTGGGGAGATTGTTTTGCCCAGCTCTGTGGCAAATAGGATAGCTTGGTCACTTTGAGATTCCAGTTGTACTGAATGGCTAATGAAACATGGCCCGGTGTACTATTCAGCTGTGTTTAAAAAGAGGGCTCAGGCCTTGGTACCAGCGGAGACATGACGAGGTATACTCCAGATGAGAAACTGCGGCTGCAACAGCTGCGAGAGCTGAGAAGGTGATGGCTGAAGGACCAGGAGCTGAGCCCTCGGGAGCCAGTGCTGCCCCCATAGAAGATGTGGCCTATGGAGAAATTCTGGAATAAGTTTTTGGAGAATAAATCCCCTTGGAGGAGAACGGTCCATGGGGTATACCAAAAGGGTATCTTTATTTTCACTCATATACTTGTACCTGCCTGGATTATTCGTTATTACCTGAAGTATCATGTGTCTGAAAAACCATATGGCATAGTTGAAAGGAAGGCCGGAATATTCCCTGCTGATACAATTCTGGAGACTGGAGAAGTAATTCCACCGATGAAAGAATTTCCTGATCAACATCATTAAAGATTATGTAAAAACTTTAAAAGGCTTATGAGCCTAAATTTGTTCCTATATTACTATATTTACTGAATTTTCTGGAAAAGTAACTTTAATAAAGTTTAATCTCAGAAAAAAAAAAAAAAAAGAAGGCTCAGTAACCAGACCCTATCATTAATGTGGCCAGGATGGCCTGGCAGAGAGCCTGTATCTGTCATGATAAGGAGCTGGGAGCCCCCCCCGCCCCGCCCCCGTCTTCCATCAGCCTCTTCTCCCATGATCTGTGTCAAATCAACGTTGTTGGAAGGAGAGCGGAAGCCATACAAAGTTATAGGAAGGATTATTACTTTCTTTAAACCTTGTAAAGGAAAAGAACAGGCCGGGTGCAGGGGCTCACTCCTATAATCCCAGCACTTTGGGAGGCAGAGGCGGGCAGATCACCTGAGGTCGGGAGTTTGAGACCAGCCTGGGCAATATGGTAAAACCCCATCTCTACTAAAAATACAATAAAAATTAGCCGGGCCTGGTGGTACATGACCACCAGCCTCCCGAGTAATTTCAGCTACTTGGGAGGCTGAGGCAGGAGAATCGCTTGAACCAGGGAGGCAGAGGTTGTAGTGAGCCAAGATCATGCCACTGCACTCCAGCCTGGACAACAGAGTGAGACTCCATCTCAAAAAAATAAAAAAGAAAAGAACAAATGCTGGCTTAAACTGGGATGCATAGTAAGAGAAACCTCTGATGAAATACATTCTAGAAAGCAGTTTTTTTAAGACCCATATGGTATTTAAAGGACCATATATCCAGAACATGTCCATCTATTTGAATCCCACATTTCAAAGTATATTTGACCAGATAAAATTATGGCTGGGAATGAAGCTTTTGTATCATCCATTATCATGTATAATCAATAAATGTTTTAATTCTCTTGGAAAAAAATGTATATTTGAAAATGGTAACACCTCCACTCCCATCTACTCACTCTCCCCTCAACAGGTAAGGTCCTCAGAAGTGCAGGGTTACCTTTCGGTCAGATGGAAGCAGAGAATCAAAACCCTGAGTGAACCGAGTCGGGGGGTTTGGGATAATTGGGGGAGTTGAAAATCTCCGAGGTGCCCTGAGCTGTGCTAATGATTCCTGCTTGGATCTCCCAGCCAGGTGCCCGCGGGAGGTCCAGTTTGGAAGGTCTGTGTTGGCAGGTGGAGGTGGGGTCAGGGTGCCTGGCAGGAACAGGCTGTTCCTTTGGCGTTTTTGCTGTTCTGGCTGGAGGTTTGCTGTGTTAGGAGCAGTGAAAGGGAAAGAGAACCTCACTATCATCCTGCATCCGTGTCCCATGATCAAATCGGCCATCTGGGGGTGTGTGACAGTTGCTTATTAGGACTCTGCAAATGTGTCTGCAGGCCATGTTTCTGTGGAAAGAGGGAGCGCAGCTGTGACCATCTCACACAGACATGCAAGTGATTTTTAAAATGTCCTATACTTTGCTACTTCCATAAAACTGCTTCCAAATAAATCAAACATTTTCTAATCAGAAATCTTGAGCGATAACCAGATGTTGGCTGTCCAGCATTTTAAGGAGAGGATTTGAGGTAGATCTTTCATTCCATTTCTGACAGGTTTTTTTGCTTTTCAAGATGAGCAAACATCCTTGTCCTGAAGAGAAAGGGGTGATCTCCGCTTTAAGGAGACCATAGAGGCCAGGTGTGGTGGTGCACGCCTGTAATCCCAGCACTTTGGGAGGCCAAGGTGGGCGGATCACTTGAGTTCAGGAGTTCAAGACCAGCCTGGGCAACATAGTAAGACTCCGTGTCTACAAATAAAATACTAAAATTAGCCAGGCATGGTAACATGCACCTGTAGATCCAGTTACCTGGGAGGCTGAGGTGGGAGGATCCCTTGAGCCTGGGAGGTCCAGGCTGCAGTGAGCCAAGATTGCACCCCTGCACTGCAGCCTGGGCAGCAGAGTCTCAAACAAACAAACAAAAAGACCATGGGGAAGCCAGGCATGGCAGCTTATTCCTGTAATCCTGGCACTTTGGGAGGCCAAGGCAGGAGGATTGCTTGAGTTCAGGAGTTTGAGGTCAGCCTGGGCAACATAACAAGACTCCCATCTCTACAAAATATTTACAAATTAGCTGGACACAGTGGCACATACCTGTAGTCCAGGTTACCTGGGAGGCAGACGAAGGAGGATTGCCCTAGCCCAGGAGTTCAAGGTTGCAGTGAGCCGTGATTGCACCACTGCACTCCAGCCTGGGCAACAGAGCAAGGTACTGTCTTAAACAAAAACAGAAGGACACTTTTGATGACTTAGGGATCAGCCTGTCAGCTGGACCCTCACAGAGGACCTCAGCTCAGAAGGGTTTGCAGGCTGTATCCCATGCGTGATATTATTGCCGCCCGAAACGCGGGTGCATATTTCTGTTTTCACCAATAAGAGCAGATGAGGTAGGGATTTCCAGTAGGTTGATGTATCTACCAAGCAAAAAAGCCTAGTGAGGAAAAGCCCAGGTTAGAAGGTACAACTGCCAGCAGGAGGCAGGACACAGAGTGAGGCATTGGACAGTGCTCCGTTTTCTCTTTTGTAAAATGAGGACATCTGTCCTGACTACCTTGCCAAGTTGTGGAAAGATTGAAAACACATGAAATAGATGTTAATTTATTAGGGAAAGATAATCTTGCTATATGAATGCAAACTGACATTCAGAACGAAATGTGGTGGTGGTGGTTCATTCAACACTGAGGAGGAAATTCTTAGCTTGGTCAGGAATGGGTGGGACCTGTGAGTTGGGATTTGAAAATGGCCGTCAAGGCTGGGCGCGGTGGCTCACGCCTGTAGGCTGAGGTGGGCGGATCACGAGGTCAGGAGATAAGACCGTCCTGGCTAATGCAGTGAAACTCCATCTCTACTAAAAATACAAAGTTAGCTGGGAAGCAGAGGTTGTAGTGAGCCGAGATCATGCCACTGCACTCTAGCCCGGGTGACAGAGAGAGACTCAGTCTCAAAAAAAAAATAAAAGAAAATGGCCCTCGAACAATTCCTGCAGCCGTTGCCTGGGGCCGGGTCCGGTGCTGTTTGCAGTATGGCTGGCTGTGATACGGACTTGTGTGGAATGTGCCTTGCCAGGCACCATGGTGCCCAGGAGGGAACAAGTAGAATCCCCAGCCCCGGGGTGTGTCCACTTTGCCCACTGGCTCCAGCTGATGGAACGCATGCATGCACACACACACAGGCACATCCGTGTGTGGGAGGCAGCATGGGAGAACCTTGGACTTACAGTCCAGCGTCCTACATCCAGACTCAGATTCCACCTTCCTGTCTGTGCCCTTGATCAAGTCCCTTCTGCATTCTTAGTCCAGTTTCTGCCTCCATGTAATGGGAGGCCCACTTTCTGGGTTAAGTCTTTGGACCCCACAGTCCTTAGCTCTAATGACCGTTTTCCGCCTTTGCTTTGCCCTGTGGGAGTAAATTCCTGTCTGTATGTCCTGCTGGAAAACGCCACCCTCCGGTTGCTGTGGTCCCAGTGTCTTTAGGGCCCTCCACATTGAACTGGCATCAGGGAGAGAATTGGTGGCTGGGGAGGACGTGGGGTTCATCCCTGAGAACAGTATGTGAAACTGGAGCCCGACTGGACCACCCTGGGCATCCTCCTGCCATCGGCAGATTTCTGTCTTATTTGCATAATCCATCCACATTTCTTGCATTTTAAGGACTTAAGATCATGTAACAGTGTCGTTCTGTGCTGTATTCACTTCGTATTGATTATTTTCATTCCTTTTTTCCTTAATACCCATAAATCTTCTCTCTCTGTGGACAGCAGCCACTTTGAGCATATTTAGAAGGCAATTTAATCCCAGGCAGCTTGTCCGACTTCATTGCTGCCTCCTTCATGAACTTGTTTACATCCCATGTGGAGCAGATGATTAAGTTAGGTTTGTTTGGGGGTACGGGGGCAAAGGAGCTTGACTCTCTGCGGGCACATATTGCTTTAGTTTTTTGACCCTACGACAAAATAGTTTCATGGAGATTTACATTATTTCTGGGCCATTTTTGCTATTACAGAGATTGATATACACTCCTTGGCAAGACCTCTCTTATCTAGAAAACCCCATCATCAGCGTGGTTTGTGTAATAGCTGAAAAACACAATTCAGCTTTATTAGAAAAAAATGTAAATGATGTATCGGCCAAGCGTGGTGGCTCACGCCTGTAATCCGAGTGTGTCCAGAGTTCGTTCCTTCCAGTGAGTTTGTGGTCTTGCTGACTTCAAGAATGAAGCTGCGGACCTTCACGGTGAGTGTTACAGCACTTAAAGGTGGTGCAGACCTAAAGAGTAAGCAGCAGCAAGACTTATTGTGGAGAGCAAAAAGAACAAAGCTTCCACAGTGTGGAAGGGGACCCAAGCGGGTTGCTGCTGTTGGCTGGGGTGGCCATCTTTTATTTCTTTATTTCTCCCCACCCATGTCCTGCTGATTGGTCTATTTTACAGAGTGCCAGTTGGTCCATTTTACATAGTGCTGATTAGTGCACTTACAATCCACAGAGCGCTGATTGGTGCGTTTTTACAGAGTGCTGATTGGTGCATTTACAATCCTCCAGCTAGCCATAGAGCATTGATTGGTGCATTTTTACAGAGTGCTGATTGGTACATTTGCAATCTTCTAGCTAGCCACGGAGTGCTGATTGGTGCGTTTTTACAGAGTGGTGATTGGTACATTTACAATCCTCTTGTAAGACAGAAAAGTTCTCCAAGTCCTCACCTGACCCAGGAAGTCCGTCTGGCTTCATCTCTCACCAACGTTTTGGGAGGCTGAGGTGGGTGCATCATCTGAGGTCAGGAGTTCCAGACCAGCCTGACCAACACGGTGAAACCCCATCTCTACTAAAAATACAAAAATTAGCCGGGTGTGCTGGCAGATGCCTGTAATCCCAACTACTTGGGAGGCTGAAGCAGGAGAATTGCTTGAACCTGGGAGGCGGGGGTTTCAGTGAGCCAAGATCGCACCACTGCAGTCCAGCCTGACTGACAAGCTCGAGACGCCATCTCTAAATAAATATATAAAAATAATGTATCAACAGCCCGGGCAACATGGCAAAATCGCATCTCTACAAAAAATAATAATAATTAACTGGGCATGGTGGTGTGCTCCTGTAGTC